GCTTTATCAGATAACAATTTTACGTTATTAACCCTCGGCGTGCATGCGCAGCGAGGGTTACGGTAAGTGTGTCAGTCTGTCCGTCTGTCATTCTGTCTGTTACCACGTTTTCTGCCACCGCGCGCACGAAATCAGGTAAATAGCGATATGATCAGGTTCAGTGCTACACTGGGTTGATTTTAAAAAAGGCGATTTTCGTAAAACTACTGCGTTCTAAAGTTATGGCGTGAAAACCAAGTGAACAAGCCAATATGGTAATTAGCAGGCTTACCTCGACTGCGTCCGCGCGCTCTGTGTATCTTGAAGGCACAAGAAGTCACAACGAAGGGCATGTATCGACTCCCGCATGCAATCTACTACTGTAGCTAGCCCGTGCCAGACTCTCCGCGAGCTACTAGCGCGATACAACGAGTAAAGAAAAGAAAAGCCCAGCCCATCAATTAGTGGTACCGCGCATGCGCAGTTCGCCGAGGGTTTGCACTTTAGTGCTTTTGCTTCATTATTCGTCATAGGTGAGGATGAGTTGAGTGGGTCAGAAGGCTCGGAGATGGCGGCTGAGTTGGAGGAGAAGGAGGCCATTGCTCTGCAGCAGAGAATGACCGCTGCCATCAGCGAGGCAGACTTCATGGCTCCAACCCTACCTGTGAGAAATCCCCTCCTTTTTTCTTTCTTACTACGAACTGTTACCTTACAATGAACTGTTCTCTTACTCTGAACCTTGTTCATTATGAATTGTCACTTACCGAAATTCCTCTTCTACTTGAATTCAGGAAGAGGATGGGGAGCAGGAAGATGGAGCAGAGAAGGTAGCCATAACAGATTACTGTAGTGTTTTCGGTTTCATTTGGAATTTTCGCAGGAGGAACATGTGGCGCAGGATTTCTCAAAGATGTCACGAGAAGACAAGTTGGCAGTGAGTTCTCTTTGTTAACCCTCGGCGTCGCGCATGCGCAGCGAGGGTTACAGTACTTGGTCCGTCTGTCCGTCTGTTACCACGATTTCTGCCACCACGCGCAACAAACAGGTAAAATAGCGACACCAGCGGGCTCAGAGCTACACTGGCTTTATTAACCCTCGGCGCGCATGCGCAGCGAGGGTTACGGTAGTTGTCCCGTAAGTGTGTCTGTCAGTCTGTCTGTTACCACGTTTTCTGCCACCGCGCCATGAAAAGCACTAAAGTGCAAACCCTCGGCGAACTGCGCATGTGCGGTACCACTAATTGATGGGCTGGGCTTTTTATGCCTTTACTCGTGGTATCCCGCTAGTAGCTCACGGAGAGTCTGGCACGGGCTAGCTACAGTAGTAAATAGCATGCGACAGTCGATACATGCCCTTCGTTGTGACTTGTTGTGCCTTCAAGACACACAGAGCGAACGGACGCGGTCGAGGTAAGCCTGTGCTAATTTACATATTGGCTTGTTCACTTGGTTTTCACGCCATAACTTTAAAACACAGTAGTTTTACCAAAATCGCCTTTTTTAAAATCAACCCAGTGTAGCACCTAACCCGATCATATCGCTATTTACCTGATTTCGTACGCTATATTTTTAAAGGCCACCAGAATCAAGTGTTGAAATATCACCAAGGAACTGTTCTCTCTCTGTTACAGCTGCTAGAGAAGGATTCCCCAGAGCTATTCGATCTTCTGGAGGACTTTGACTTCAACATGTCGGAGACAGTGGAACTGCTCGGATTCCAGTCCAGAGTGGCCAAAGACTCGCCTACCTTCACTGACGAGGCAAGTTCATCCATCTAGCACTTGCTCCAAGAATTCGGGTATTGTTTTTTCTTTGCAGGGAAGAGAATATTTGGACTGCAAGCTGCATCTCGATCTTCTGTGAGATAGTGTTACATTTGTCATTTTCGCTTTTAGCTCTCTTGCTCTCTCCATTATTATCTTTCTCACCCCTCCCCTCTCTCTCTCTCTTTAGATATTGTGTCAACATCTCTCTCTTTCTCTTTCTCTATTTAGGTATTGCATGAACATAATGTTCTACCTCTACCTGAAAGCGTCAGGTCTGCCTGTCAAAACTCATCCAGTCATCCAGCGCATAGTTCAAATCAAAAAGGTGAGAAGGAGATCACACGATTCACTTAGAAATCATGTGATTGTCATGTGACTTTCTCTCACAGATGATTGGTCAGTTGGAGCCACTGGCCAGTGAAATGCAAGGACAGATCGAGGCTCTTTTATCCTCTCTGAATTCTGAAACACCAGAGGAAAATCCAGCTATGGACCAATATTCAGCCGTGGAAGATGGTGTTAGTAAAAAGCCACGAAAGAGAAAACAAGGAGTGAGAGAAACGGAAATTGAAACCAAGATCAAATCCGTGAAGAAGAAAAGTGCCAAAATTTCTGGGGCGAGTGTCCAGTCTGGGTTAGTTGAAGAGGATCCACTGGATTACTATGACAGGGTTTTGGAAGAGAAGAAGAGAAAGAGAGAGCAGAGAACGGAGAGAAGAAGAAAGGAAGAGGGCAGAGGGAGAGAAGGAAGCCGACCTTGATGAGGGAGAAGATGGAAAAAGAGCCGTCACTTACCAGGTTTAATAGTCACACTCTCAGGGATTTTTTAGCTTTTTTCGCTTTTACTTAATGGTTTTATCTTGTTGATGGGATTTTTCTCCTGTTGACTTAACTTTTGTTGTCCAGATATCTCGCAATAGAGGGCTGATTCCACAGAGGAAGAAAGAGCTGAGAAATCCTCGAGTGAAGCATAGGAACAAGTTCAGAAAGGCCTTGATCAAGCATAAGGGCCAGGTACACTATATACCTTTTGTGTGCTCTAGAAAGTAATTGGTTTTTGTTGTGCTGTGCAGGTGCGTGAGGTAATGAAGGAGCTCCATCGCTACGGAGGTGAATCCTCTGGCATCAGAGCCAACGTCTCACACAGCATCAAAATCAAATGAGCCAACTTTGGGCCCTTCCGTAACCTTGAACACGGTTTCCCTGCACACGCGGATGTACTCATAAGTCATAAAACACTTCCATAATATCTTCTTTTTCACGTGTAAGAGAGTGTTGCTACATCGTAAGGGTGTCTGTTTATGTCTTGCCCTGATTCCATGTCGGCCTCGGTCTGCAGTCCATTCCGCAGTACCTGTTCCATTCCATCAGACAACATGAAAGTAGGTCTGGTTCCGGTATTTCCATTTCGGTGGAACGGATTAGCGACAGAGTAGATTTTGAGATCTCTGATACCAAACTGGTTCCATTCTGGAGACGGCTGTCTCAGAACGAGACGGAGACTAATTACTTTCTCCAGCGAGGCTAGGAAGTGGGCTTTATTTAGGACAACCAAGCTCTGGCTGCCTCGTTCACAGTGGCAGTTTGGCATCAGTTGAACCCTTTCTATTCCTGTTCTCCATTCCTTTTGAGTTGGGTGGTCGGATTTCAAATTTGAAATCTGCTCAGAGAGCCGGCTACAGTACTTGAGTGTGAGGGTATGAGTGTAGTAGTTTTGGAACGAGATGCACCCTACGACCTCTGGAATGGAGGAACGGAATTCCACGTCCACCACCTGACAACCTGATGGTCTGGTCTCATTCCCAGAGTTTGGTACTGAACCTGGACCCTGCCGAGCCCAGCCCCTCTGTCCTGATGTAATACATCATCACAGAAAGATGAATGAACAGATTCTGTACCTGAAACGGTGAGGAAAACGGCTGGCTTCACCACACAAGGTATCAAGCAATCGTCCATTTTGTGCATGAGAGCCCCACCCACTACTTACACGCATGCGCACGAGTTTGTGTTCCAATTATGCGAAAGTGTACTTTTCACAAAGATATTTTGTAAACGAAAAATGGGTCAATCGGGCAGTTCCAGTGCAGCGGTAAGCGAAGTCCCGACGCCGAGAAAGACAGTCTCGCGGCACGTGGCGACGTTCAAGAAACTCTACGGAGAGCTGAACCGTCCGGAAGAGACGGGAGAGTCGGCAAACGATGACCTCTTTAGAGTAAGACCCACCAACGCCACAACTAGCCTCTTTATCACACTGAATTCTGTCCAAAGACGCGGTTTCAGGAGCATTTCGGCGGGCCCTGTCTGGAACTTGGCCACCTACTCTATCAGCATATGTTTGGTCACGTGACCACCTCGGTTGACATGGAAACGTTTGTCACGGCAGCGAGTCGACTGGAGAGGGTGTGCACTCGAGGTTCCAGGGAAGAGACAGGTGGATTGATTTTCAGCATCTTTGCCGAAGGAACTGACACACTCACGGAGAAAGGTGCATTATTGATCTCTGAGAGGGAGTAGCTATTGTTTTAATTAATGGGCTATCTCAATAAAGTAAGTAGGCACGTTTTACTTTTCTTAATAAGCTACTGCCTGCAGAGGACATCTATAATAGAATACTGTGGATTCGGCTTTCATACAGTCGGTAGTAGAAAGATGTGGTGTTGGATTTAGCAGCAGTCATATATTATTCCTCTGATATTGCAGCTCTGACTGGCCTGATTTGCTCTTCGGCCACACTGGCTCTGGTCCTGGGATCTGAACTACACCACCACCAGACGGGCGTTCCCCCAGACCACACCCACATCTCCGCCCTTATCCGCTCCGCCGTAAGAATTCTTAATTCAACATTCAAGGGAGATAATATTTTGCTAAAAACAAACCTTTTGTGGATTTCATAAAATTGTCCCAGTGTACGATAATTGTTCTCTCTGAGGCTATATACTAATTTGACAAACTCAATTTTTCCACTTACCTTACAGTGGAAAATGACTGAGTCAGAAACGCATCAATTATCGCTGAAGGAATTCAATTTCTGGAGCTCCACCCATTGCCCTCGGTTACTGGACGGACTGCTGCACTGGATTACATCGTCGCTATTACTGATTAATTTGGAGGGGGAGGGGCAGGGGGCGGATCACCATTCTCTCTCCTCTCTCCCTCCCACCCAGGCAGCATCCAGTTCTCACTATTACCGCCTCCCCACTCCCCACCTCACTGGCTCTGAGGACCAGTCAGCTGAGGCAGAGACGGAGATACAAGTTCTCATTTGGTCTCTCTCCATCTCCCTACCGCTCATCTATCTTGGACACAGAGACGATGAAAATATGACAACAAAAGTACGTATTTTCACCATTTCATACACTCCTTTTGAAAATAGGTAAGTATATAAACTGCAACATATTCACAATGGTTTCTCTGCTCCATACATTTTTAAGAGCCACCAACAGTTGTGGTTTTTTGACGTCAGGTGCAAGCATTGTGTCCCTTTGCCCCATACATTTTTATAGCCTAAAAGTTGTGGTTTTCAATGAATATGTTTAAACATCACGTGCAGGCATGTGTGACTACCCACTGGGAGGGACCTGGACCAGACTCTACTCCAGTTCCCAGCACGGGTTCTCCATGAACCGGTTCCAACACCACTGCTCGGACTACCGCGAGCCTTCGGTCATGGTCCTCGACTGCCGATGCCAGAGAGGGGAGGAGGAGGGAGGAGATGGGAGACATCAGTTTGCTATTGCTGTCGATACTGAATGGAAGTCAGCCAGCTGTAGTTGAAGTTGTGCTAAATTCTGCGTAAACATTCCTGTTTTATTGCAGAGATGGAACATTCTATTGGGGAGGAGAAAGATTCTGCCTGTTGCAACTTCAACCAGTTTTCCTTCTACTTTCATGTAAGATACATCGGAAACCACTCCAAAAATGAGGACACCTCTCTAACAAGGACACATTTTCTTTCCCAAAAGAGCAACTCTTACCCTCTAATAAGGACACCTCGCTACTAACTATATATTCTAAATGTTTCTGCAGCTGGTCCAAAGAAAATATCGCTCAACGAGAAAAAGAGGGGATTCCCCACTGGATTAAGGGTGATGTCATCGTCTGAAGCGAGCACTAGTTGCCTACTGGAGGTTGACTCCGCCCTGGAGACGGCCCGTTTCCGTGGTGTCACCATGACGATTCTGAAGGTGGAGGTGTGGGGGTGTGGGGGCGAGAGAGCCGCAGAGAGACAACAAAAGATGAAGGAATGGGAAAAACAGCTCATTCTGAAACGAAGAAAGGTGATCATAGAAAGTTTGGTGTCATGTCTATCGGTCTTGCATTTAAAATAAAGCAAAACAGAATCATGGGGAAAATTGCACTTTTTATAAGTAGAAAAAGAGTGTCAACATTGTCACCCACTGTAAAATATCGCTGCAAAAGAATTATGGATTGAAAAATTCTTGAGCTGTCAGCCTGTGGACACAGCTCACTAGAACAAAATACCTAAAAATATTCTCGAAAATTTGAAAGTTACACACGAAACTCTCTCTCTCACCTTTAGATCAAAGCGTCCACCATTAGAGATGAATGGGCGAATAGTCCTGATCGCTACATTCTTGATATGGGCGGAGTCAAGACAGACCGACCTCGAGAGCAGTAAAACTATTATACATTGTTTTATATCCCATGCTTCTTTGAAGTGTATACTTGTGTGTGCAGGTTTTGTATTTTTGGTATCAACTTTAAATTTCCCTTTCATGCAGTGGCTAATACTGACCCCAGTGGGACAGAAGAAAGTGTCCGTATTAGTGAGGTGTCCTTATTTCAGGGGTTGGCAAGAAGCTGTTCTTGGGGGAAAAGATGGTGTCCTTATTAGAGGTGTGTCCTCATTTCAGGGGTGTTGAATACAGTGGAGTATGGAATAGTAACATACTTTTTCTCGCTGCGCCTTATTCCTATCTCGACCAAATTTCACTGTCTCCCAACTGAGGGTGTCAACAATTTTGCATTTCTTGTAGGCACGTGAGCGTAATAAGAGACAAACCAACTATCCTTAGCACTTTCACTACAGTTGGAGTATGGAGTAGTAAAATACTTTCTTCTCGCTGCGCCTTCTTCCTATCTCGCCCAAATTTCACTGTCCTCCAACTGAGGGTGTCAACAATTTTGCATTTCTTGTAGGCACGTGAGCGTAATAAGAGACAAACCAACTATCCTTAGCAGTTGGAGTATGGAATAGTAAAATACTTCTTCTCGCTGCGCCTATCCTATCTCGCCCAAATTGCGCTGTCCCCCGTAAATGAGGGTGTCAACAATTTTGCATTTCTTGTAGGCACATAAGTGTAAAGAGGCGTTCCACAGTGGTTAATTAGGTTTAGCTGCTTTATTGGAGAATCATGCTGCACAACAATAATACTGAGAAGGAATAGTTCAGAAAGATTGCTGAAATGATATATAGAGATTTGAGGCTTTGAGTTGATGGTCGTTGGTTGATGTTGTCATCGGCCACGACTGCGAGAGGAAGTAGGCGGAGTCAGTCTCCGTGGCGGCGGGCTTCGGGTTAGCGACGAGAATAGGATGCTCAGTAGTCGTTTCCATAGCAACCCACAGAGCATCATCATGCACCCAGTGGTCACCCAGAATGCGTACGGATTCTGAAAGGAGATTTCTCTGTAACTCGTGACAACAGAAAGCTTTCACAATATTATGTGATCTTCACTAATACTTCAGTTAGCTATAGAGTAGTGTGGCACACAAGCCGGCCAACCACATTTTGTGAAACTTTGGTTTATGTGATTTGGGGAAGTTTTTGCAAATCATAATGTCTCCAGCAACAACAGATGGTCTTTTTTGCACTTGCTAAGTTAGCTTGCTGCACTGCATTTGAGCATCTCACAAAAACTATAATAAAGTGTAGTTGCTGTGTTAACCTCTTCCAGTGAAGAGTCTAGATTCATTCCAAAAGCCATGCCGATGAGCCCGGAGATGGTGGCCGAGAAGACCCCCATCTCTAGCTGCAGAGACAGTCGCATCATCACGTTTCTCTGGCTGTCCAGGTTGATGAGAATGATGCTCTCTGATTGGTCGATCGAGTCCCGCAGAGTTTGAACCTCGCTCATCATGTTCTCTGCCTGTTTGGGGGGGATTAGAACCGGTTTCAACGTGAAATTTTTGGAGTTTAGACACGCATGAAACTAAGCCATGAGATGCCAAGAGAAAGAGGAGGAACACACCAATGCTCTTGACAGCGTTTTAGTCCAGCAGAACAGATTTTACCGATCAGGGTTTGAGTTTTACTGGTAAGTATTACCTGCATTAGATATGCTTCTAGAATGTTGTTGATGTCTTCGATATCTTCCTCATCTCTATATTCCCTGCAATAGCGGAAACACAATTTCTACAAAACCAGATAATGCTCAGAAGTATATATATATGACCCTTTCGCCCCCACCTCCTATGCTGCATTTTAGACACTGTATGGAAGCTTACGGTACGACCCTAACCCTGTGTCGGCAAAGTGGGTGAGGTACATGTCAGCCATGTCTTCTTCGCTGTCGAGAACGTCGGTCAGTGTGGCCTCAATGTCTTTGACTATCGAGTGGAACTCTGACAGGCTTTTGCTGTGCTGTAGGAGGATGTGTAGCTCACCCCTAGAGAGAGGAGAGAGGGAGGGTGAAAGAGAGAAGAGGAAGAAGAGGAGAAGACAAAGCAGGGGGGAGAGAGTAGGTTTTCGTATTTTGCGGTCAGTACGAGAGGTAGAGACAAGCCAACCAACTATACTGAATACCTTGTCTATAGCTGGAGAGTGCAGTGCAATCGTTCTAAAATAGCACAGCCACTCTTATTTTAAGCAAACAGAGAGAAGGAAGGAGAGAGAGAGAGACTGCAAAAGTTGATAAAGAAGTGACAAGGTATACAGTACCTGTCTACGGAGAACAGTTGAGGGTCTAGGAGGCGATGCAGGACATCTTCAGCTGCTTGTCCCAACTCAGCCAGTCTGTCATCAAGTGATGAAAACTACACACACACACAGAAGAGAGGAAAAGATGCACTCTATAATCATGGAAATCCTCTAACCCAAGACACCAATGGGTCCATATTATTGAGGTTTCTTTATTGAGGGATTAAATTGCATGCAAGAAACTCATCTTGGGGGAATAAGGTGTCATTAGAGAGGTGTCCTCATTTAAAGCGTGTCCGGATTAGAGGGGTTCCACTGTACATACTCTGATTTCTGCACACATTTTACGCAGTACACAAGGATGTCTGTTACCATTTCCATTAGCATAGCCTCGAGGACGACAAACTCAAATGGAGAATCATCTTTACACGATGTTATCTTCAGCTGAAATAATTAATCTTTTCAACGTCAAGAAAGTGAAAATAATTTGGTCAAACTTGCTTTCAGTTCAGGCAGAAACTCTTTAACTGAACGGTGGTTGGAGTCCAGCAAAACGAGAGAGTCGCTATTTATAATTGCCTTCATGTGCTAAAAATAGACACTGCGACGATGTAATTGTGATGTAATGGGGCTCCACCCACCTTTAGTCGAAGTATAATGCTGTTGGCTCGGACGACGAGTGAAGAGAAGGTGGAAAAACGGATGTCGCGAGGCTGGATCTCGTGGCGAAAAAGCACTTCTGATTTCCGAGCAACTACACAACCACATCACAACAGTTGTGAATTAGCTACTGTATAACGATTCCAAAACGTTCAAGTTATACCTTTAGAATGGTAGTTTCCTTCTGTGTCAAACTCAGTCTGTGAAAAAAGAAAGAGAGATCAAGTGTGGAAGAAATTAACAGCACGTATCTCTTTCTCTTACCACATGCACTGAAAGAGAATTTTGAGTAGCTGCGTCCCTTGAAAGTGACTACTGTTTCCACGACAACAGGGGAACATCCAGTATCCATGGAGATATGGCCGGTGATGATGATGATTCAACAGCCGAAGAAGAGGGGTGTTAGCAACCTTTCTGGTCACGTGATTTGTTAGCAGTTGCCATGGTAGCAACATTGGACATCATGTGATCTAAAGAGAAGGGATGACTGCATGCACTTCACAAGAGAGAACAGTAAACTCACTCACTGGCCAAAACGTTAGCTTGTTATACATACACGCCTACTATACTATCGCTCATGCGCACGATAACTCTTGCGCATGCGCATTCTGATACATCAAGCCCCGCCCACTTGGCTTCGACTTCCTGCGTGTGACGTAAGCTCCGCTCTCTCGATTTCCTGAGCCCTTGCAGCAAGGAAAGGCAGTCTGCAGACACCCCACGAGCACAAAGAGAAGGAGAACTAGAGAGTATCTGGCCTGCTGCATTGTCTCTATGTCCACCCCGCGGAATCCCATCCCTCCCAAGCACTTTGCGCCGCTACAGTCGACTGACGTAAAGAGCTGTCCAAGAATGTCCAAGCCAACGTGAGGAAAAAGAGAAAGAATACGCATATTATTTTACGTGTTGCCTCATATGGTGCTCTTTTTTATCCTGTGGGCACAATATGGATTGTTTCATTGCTTAGCTGGATTTCACCGCACAAACTCTGTTTTCTGTTCATTTCTTCCTTTTCCTTTTCTGCAGGGCCGACATTGCTCTAATCGGTCTGGCCGTCATGGTAAATCCTTCACCTCTACTCACCTCTCCTCCCTCCTTCCCTCCCTCTCTATCTCTATCAACACTCACTATTACTCTTACTCCACGCAATGAATATTTCCCTCCCTCGGTTGGCAATCCTACATTCTAAGGGCTGAGAAATACGTCCAGTCATTCAATACTCCAGTTTCAATTATGCCCTCCATTTCTGAGCTTCTGTACCTCAACATGCAAAATTGAGCTTCGAGTACCTTTAACATGTGAAATTTGGCTCATACACATGCATTACCTTTCTCTACTGGAGTGAAAAGCTCGTCCCAGCGTTATGTAAAGACCTACCTACGTATGTACTAAGTAAAGCTGCCTTAGCCGGTAATGTATGCGCGTGTTTTCCGATAGCTATGTATGTGTCCAAGTGCTTGCTTGCTTGCCTGGGAACATTTCCAATGAGATGGATTTTACAACCTACTGCTATAATGGAGGAAAACTGGTTAATCAATCGGTCTGTGTAATGCTCGAGGAACCTCAGTGGATGTGCATTTCCATGATGTAAAATGGCTTCCTACCTTCTTCCTGTCACCATGAGCTTCTTTGTGCGTGTTTCTTGCATGATTCTTTGCCTCCAAAGGCTTCTGGTGCCGCTTTATGTAGATTCACGTGTTTGTGTCTGCGTTATCTTGTTCCCGTTCCTCCACAAACACACACACGCGCAGGGCCAGAACATAATTCTCAACATGAACGACCACGGATTCGTGGTTTGTGCCTACAACAGGACCGTTGCTAAGGTGGACCAGTTCCTGGCCAACGAGGCAAAGGGTAGGTCACTCCCGAGTTCTAAGACGGAAAAGAATCGTTCTTGCATCCTTCTCTTCCTCCTCTCCCCTTCCTCCTTCTCTCCCTCATTGCTTCATCTATATTTCTCAACCCTCTTCTCCCTATTCTTCTCCTTCCCTCTTCCAATATTGCCATTTCTTGTGTATTCTTTCCCTCATTCCCCCTCTCCTTTCTCCCTCTTTATTTCTTTGTTTCTTGTCTTTCTCGCTCTTCTCCTTCTTTCTCCCTCTTCTCACTTCTATTTTTCTTTTCTGTTCTCTCTCGTTTTCCTTTCCTCCTCCCTCCCTCCTTCCCTCTCTTTATCTTCCATTTCCTCTGCCTCAGGCACCAACATAATAGGAGGCAAGTCCCTCGAAGACATGGTGTCAAAACTGAAGAAGCCACGTCGTGTCATGATGCTGGTGAAGGCCGGCTCGGCAGTCGACGACTTCATCGACAAGATCGCCCCACTCCTCGACCAGGGTGACATCATCATCGACGGAGGAAACTCAGAGTATCTGGACACACGGGTTTGCAAAACCAGTTTTTATGCCATATCTCAATACATATGTAGCCTCGGAACGTAGATTTGGATTTTGTGTCTCTCTCATAGTCCTAAGTACCTGTTCTTGAATTTTCGTACGGTTTTTAAATAGAGGTATAATGTGAAAAACGTGGCCCTGACATTTCATAATATCTCGACTTACGTATGGTAATGCTGCAGCCCACCCTTCCGGTGAGCATTATTTAGGATTATGAAACCATGTGTGCAACTTTCTCTCTCTTTTTGTTTCTCTGCACAGCGTCGCTGCAAGGCGCTGGCAGCCAAGGGTCTCCATTTCGTCGGGAGTGGGGTCAGCGGAGGAGAGAGACGGAGCTCGCTACGGCCCCTCCCTCATGCCGGGCGGCGCCCCCGAGGCGTGGCCACACATCAAGCCCATCTTCCAGGGCATTGCTGCTAAGGCCAACGGAGAGCCATTGCTGTGACTGGGTGAGCGGAGAGAATTGAGTATGATAGGCCACGCAACATGAAACATAGAGCATTTCTATTTCATGTTGTGGCAAAGTTGCATTGTGTATCAGATATTTCAGTGGAACACCTCTTGCAGCATGGTTGATCTGTACTCTCTTTTCTTGATACTTTTAGAAATGTTACTAAAACAGAAACGGAATTACATCATTGCACTGGGCCCTTTAGTAACAATAGCTCTCAAGTATTGGCACATTACATACCTTTAAAACGGGACAGTTGTGAATATAAGATAAGCACCCACTGATTTCTTCTCCTCCGCTGTCATTAGGTGGGTGAAGACGGAGCTGGTCACTATGTGAAGATGGTGCACAACGGGATAGAGTATGGAGACATGCAGCTCATCTGCGAGGCATACCAGCTCATGAAGGACACCCTCGGAATGAACACCGATGACATGGCCAAGGTGGGGCAGTTAAGATCCAACCCTGCAAACATTACTATACCATTCTTTTCTTCTTTTTTGAATCCACTCTCTCTCCCCTTGCACACGTTACTATACCATTCCTTTCTTCTTTTTTGAATCCTCTCTCTCTCTCCTTGCGCACACTCCTTTCTTCTTTTTTGAATCCTCTCTCTCTCTCCTTGCAAACATTACCTTTCTTTTTTTGAATCCTCTCTCTCTCTCCAGGTGTTTGAAGAGTGGAACAAGGGAGAGTTGGATTCCTTCCTGATTGAGATCACGGCTGGCATCATAGCCTTCAAGGACACGGACGGCTTGCCTCTCGTGGAGAAGATCAGGGATTCCGCCGGGCAGAAGGGGACCGGGAAATGGACCGCCATTTCTGCTCTCGACAAGGGGATGCCTGTCACCCTGATCGGTGAGCCGAAACTCTAAGACGAGTTTGAAAAATCTCTGTGTCCAAGTGGATAAATATCCTAGGAGGGGGTGTAATGGAGGGCAGTCCCTGTTAAGTTCCCATACATTGGAACCCCTCTAATCCTGCGAACGAACGAGCTTTCATTAGCCACTTCTACCGAACCATGTAAAGCTACATGCGTAGGTAGAATACGTAAGTATGTAGCACCCGTACTCTATATGTGTAGACTGTTTACTTATTACTCATTGCGTAATCTTACCTTGTCGTTCGTATAAAAAGTGTATGCACGTGGAAAATAATCAGATTTGAGACTCAGCCAGAGTCACTGAGAGAGATGAGTGTTGCCACGTGCAAGGCTGGTCGTGCCACAGTAGAATCAACATTGCACGCAGTATTAGTGAGGTGTCTGTATTTATTCACACGCGAGAACTGTTCTTGAGCTGTTTCGTGACTGGTCCCCTACAGTGCAGGTGAGAGCGTGTTTGCTCGTTGTCTGTCTCGCTGAAGGACGAGAGAGTCAAGGCCTCAAAGGTCCTCCCTGGACCTGCCAGCTGCAAATATTCAGGAGACAAGTGAGAAATAACTACTACTAGTCTACTGTACTTACTAAAAACAGTTCTTGTATGCAATATAACTCCTGTAGTAGACACTTTCTTCTGTCCCACTGGTGTCAGGATTGGAAGCGTTCCACTGTAAATGATGTCATTTCGTCTCTTCTCCCTCTCTTCCTCCTCCTCTCCCTCTCCCTCCAGACAAGCATTCATAGAGGACATCCGCCAGGCGCTCTATGCCTCCAAGATGTCTCCTATGCCCAGGGCTTCATGTTGCTCCGCGAGGCGGCCAAGGTCTACAGCTGGAATCTCAACTACGGCGGCATCGCACTCATGTGGCGTGGAGGCTGCATCATTCGCAGGTCCTTTCTCTAGTACTATCTGTGTATAGAGCATCGCACTCATGTGGCGTGGAGGCTGCATCATTCGCAGGTCCTTTCTCTAGTACTATCTGTGTATAGAGCATCGCACTAATGTGGGTGGAGGCTGCATCATTCGCAGGTCCTTTCTCTAGTATATCTGTGTATAGAGCATCGCACTCATGTGGCGTGGAGGCTGCATCATTCGCAGGTCCTCTTCTCTAGTACTATCTGTTATAGAGCATCGCACTCATGTGGCGTGGAGGCTGCATCATTCGCAGGGTCCTTTCTCTAGTACTATCTGTGTATAGAGCATCGCACTCATGTGGCGTGGAGGCTGCATCATTCGCAGGTCCTTTCTCTAGTACTATCTGTGTATAGAGCATCGCACTCATGTGGCGTGGAGGCTGCATCATTCGCAGGTCCTTTCTCTAGTACTATCTGTGTATAGAGCATCGCACTCATGTGGCGTGGAGGCTGCATCATTCGCAGGTCCTTTCTCTAGTACTATCTGTGTATAGAGCATCGCACTCATGTGGCGTGGAGGCTGCATCATTCGCAGGTCCTTTCTCTAGTACTATCTGTTTATAGAGCATCGCACTCATGTGGCGTGGAAGGCTGCATCATTCGCAGGTCCTTTCTCTAGTACTATCTGTGTATAGAGCATCGCACTCATGTGGCGTGGAGGCTGCATCATTCGCAGGTCCTTTCTCTAGTACTATCTGTGTATAGAGCATCGCACTCATGTGGCGTGGAGGCTGCATCATTCGCAGGTCCTTTCTCTAGTACTATCTGTGTATAGAGCATCGCACTCATGTGGCGTGGAGGCTGCATCATTCGCAGGTCCTTCTCTAGTACTATCTGTGTGTAGAGCATCGCATCATGTGGCGTGGCAGGCTGCATCATTCGAGGTCCTTTCTCTAGTACTATCTGTGTATAGAGCATCGCACTCATGTGGCGTGGAGGCTGCATCATTCACAGGTCCTTCTCTAGTACTATCTGTGTATAGAGCATCGCACTCATGTGGCGTGGAGGCTGCATCATTCGCAGGTCCTTTCAGTCTAGTACTATCTGTGTGTAGAGCATCGCACTCATGTGGCGTGGAGGCTGCATCATTCGCAGGTCCTTTCTCTAGTACTATCTGTGTATAGAGCATCGCACTCATGTGGCGTGGAGGCTGCATCATTCGCAGGTCCTTTCTCTAGTACTATCTGTGTATAGAGCATTGTCAGTCCATCGTGAAAATGATCTAGTTTAAGGATTCAAACTATGGTCTACTATAATATATTGTATAGGACTTTGTTGTGTTTTCTTGTGCAGTCGTTTCCTAGGCAACATGAAGGAGGCGTTTGACAAGAACCCGGCCCTCACCAATCTTCTTCTGGACGACTTCTTCAAGTCCGCAATCCTCCGCTGTCAGGTACTTGCATGTCTCAACAACTTGGTAGCGAGGTAGAAAGGCAAGGCAAGGCAAACAAGTCAACTATACGTAAAACACGTGTTATGGGGACATTGGTGAGGCATTGGTACTACTGTATAGCGGAAAACTTGCGAGGGAGAAAATTTTCACGTTTTTTTTTAACGTTTAGATTATGTAGACGTGTACGTGCATTGTGTGTGTAATTCAGTACATACGTTCCCACAAGTATTTTGTGTGGAGTATCGTGCGAAGACTAAATCTAGTGCTGATTATTGTGGTAGCTACAATACATTGAGTGGGGACACACAGTGTTATGAAAATTAATCTTCTCTCTCGTCGCTATCTCTGTGCTATCCCCTGTGTAGGATGGATGGCGTAGAGTGGTCTCACAGGCGGTGCTACTGGGAATCCCGACTCCTGCCTTCAGCAGTGCCCTTGCCTTCTTTGACGGCTACAGGTATATACACCAGCTCACACTCACATAATATACAGTATGTAAGAAAGTGAAGCGAAAAAAGAAAGAGAAAGGAAGTCTATAAGGGACTGCTTCTTACCATAGCAAAGAGCTTACTAGTGTAGGGCATGTATAGTTAATAGCGTTCTCTCTCTTTCTCCAAACTCTTTCTAACACTTAATCTGTAACTCTCTCTATCTCTGTGTACTGGACAAAAATAAAAAATAAGTGTGCCATGTGAAAAATCTGGGGGAAATACTGCCGTACCCAGCCATTCAGCAATAGAATACTCTTTTTCTTACATAGATCTGAGAAAGTTCCGGCCAACCTGATCCAAGCCCAGCGAGACTACTTCGGAGCTCACACCTACGAGCTGCTCTCTAGCCCGGGGAAGTTTGTACACACCAACTGGACCGGCCATGGTGGCAATGTCTCCGCCTCTACCTACTCCGCCTGATTTTGAAATTCAAAATTTCGAATTTGAATTCCGACAGCTGCGTATGGACGGACGCACATTGCATACATAATATGTAGTAGTCCCATGTTTTAAGATGAGATGGTTGTGTAGGGTTAGAGTTAAAATTGTAAATAGCCATGATTATGAATTTTTAAAAGAGTCGTCGTTTGGTATTCAGAAAAGTACACGATCTTTGGAGTACGTGCATATTGACACTAAATTACGTGATCTTTGGCGTATATATTGACACTAAATTACGTAATCTTTGGTGTGCATATTGACACTAAATTAAGTGATCTTTGGCGTGCATATAATGGTGATACTGTCTAATCTGCAGTGATGGCTCGTAACAGGAGCTTGCATGTTCGAGTCACATCTCCTTTCAGGATAATCTGAGTGAACAGAAAAAGTTTTTCTTAAGACAGTCACAAGACAAAAGGTGCATGCAACTTCAAAAGTATGGGTATGATTGGTCCAGGCAACACTATATTCACTTAGCATTGTCTTACTGCACCTTAAAAAAGTAAAAAGTGAAACTTAATTTTCGGTTTTAGCTATTATTTTTCTTAGTTTCGTGTTCTTTACTATGAAATACGTACATTTGTGTTGGCCTGGATGATGCCGTCTTTGACTGCTGACTGCGGAGGGTGGAAACTGATGGCCACTGTCTTTGTACTGCTAGCCTCAACTGTTCCCTGTGTTGAGAGATGGAGTGTGGGAGGATATAAGAAATTTCTTGACTAAAAATACACCGCACCACTCCACTGTAAAACAAGTAGTAGATGAAGTACAGGAAAATGGTAATTTTCCGAATTCTACACAAAAATTGTCCCTGTGCATTTATGAAGAAGGTCTGAGATTTGTGAAAGTGTATTCTCACATTTTTACCTATAGCCTATACAGTATGTAATATTTCCTGCCATTCTGAAATGTGTTCCTATGAGTTTAGATACAGTACATACGTACCTTAGTTGGATCAAAGGTGAATGTCTTTGAGTGAGGGTTGGAAGGTGGTATAGCTTCAATCGTGAAATCGCCAGTGTTCTGGATGAAGAGCAGAAACATAGCATCTTTGGCAGTTGCAAATACCACGGCAGCAATAATAATCATTGTGTGTGTACTTATTTCTATCGTCTAGTCTAATTACTCTTATCGTGTTCCAACTCCGTATTGAACTAAATACCAACAACTTTCTTTTCTTCTTTCGTGACCTTTATTTTGGTTTCCAAACTTACCAGGCCCTCAAAGACGTGACTAGTATTTCATACATACGTACATAGCTCTTTGGATACCTTCTTCACTGTGGCTGACTTGATACAGCCAATCTCCAGCTCCCTCTTCACCACGTCCCCACCACCCTCACCAGCTCTCTCGTCAAACAGGACCAGAACCGGTTCTACCGGCTCAACCGGTTCTCCGTCGGGTCCAAGGGATGGCATCCCAGCTGCCATGCTGTGGAACTCTGCCTCTGTCTGGTTGTCACTGCCAGTGATGTACAGGATGGAGGAGCACGCTTGGCCAGCCAGTGTCAGAGTATGGGTGGGCTGTGAAATAGTTTAGTAGCACAGCAGTACCATATCTATCTGACTTTGCAGTTTGGCACTTTGTAAGGAAATCGTTTTTCTTTTTTCCTCCTGACCTATGTACTATTCTACAATCATTCATCTACGAGCTCATTATAAAAAGGAGTGGGGGAGTTTTAATTGAGGAAGTGTATTAGGAGAGAGAGAGAGAGACAATAGAGAGGGGGTTACCGAGTCATTGATGTTGATTGTGAGGGTGTCAGAGTAGTGAGCACTCTGATGATCCGGGGAAAAAATGACTTGGAACTCCGCCACACTTTCTGAAGGTATTATAGTCAAAGGAGATAAGGACGAGAAATATTCAGAGAGCGTATGCACTGATGTTACTGACCTGGTTCTATTCTTCCTTGGAATGGAACGCAGTCAAACACAGGCTTCCCACTATAATTTGCAGCTCCTGTAAAAATTTAACCGTGTCTATAAAAATTGGAGAAAAATCAGAAACTCACTGAATTTAGCTCCTTTCACATCGTTTCGTCCTAGAAGCTCAATGTTGTACCGCACACCCAAAGAACATGCGTTTTTTAGTTGGAACTTCCTGACACTCGTGTCTCCCGTGTATGTGTGTCCAAAGTCCATTCTGTCGGAGTCAGGTTCCAGTACCACACGTGGCTCCACGGCCTCTCCAATGAGTCTCAGATCCGTTCCACCAGACCCGGAGTGGGACAGTCTCATCACCTCGTAGAACTGGAACCACACACGTGGTAGAGTGGAGAGAATAGCCATACTTAAAGTTTTTCTGGATCTAGTATGTACTAGTACAATTCTGTACGCTTACTGCATTTGCACACACAAACACACACACACACACGAGATTGTTTTTTTCCCCTGCTGAACAATGACTTCACACAAAATAGACAAAACTAGGAAAGGTGGGGCATAAAAGATTGTTGTTGATATATATTGGTATGTATTTCGGCTGTTGCTAAAGATTAAAGGCAGTTTATGTAATATATATAAGCAGGAAATTGGTGGAAAATTTCATGGACCTGTTGCATCACCAAACTATCCAAGTTGGGTCTCTAACCAGCTAAAACGTTCTCCCGGTATGATGTAATTATGATGTAATACTCACTTGGCCTCCATGACTAGGAGAGAACTTGAGAGAGAGGGTGTGGGTGGAAGAGGGAGGGACGGAGCGAAGGGCATTCCGAAGATCAAACGGACCGCCAGGATCCAGTGGTGAAGACATCAGCTGTTAATAGATGCAGATAACGTTGGCGAATGTGACAGTATAATAAAGGGCTAAATAGATGCAGATAACATTCAGGTGAGCAGTGAATGTTGTGAGGCGTCAGAACAGTGCATGCTAGAGGGAATGTGGCAGTATAGAAGGGCTAAATCTAGAAAATCTTTCACTTGCCCCCATAAAGTAAATTTAGGTCTAATTTGCTACCACATTCCCTTTAGACTTAACAATGAGAAAGAGGTACGCTATATATACACATACATACCTGAATGGAGCTGTCTGAAATGTTCTTCACTGTCAGATGTTTGGTAAGATAATCACCTGGGAGTTGGTCGATGTGTACATAATACTAGTGGAAGTTGTAAGTTTGAGTTTTATGTACAAAATAGTAAAGGAATACGTAATGTAAGCACGCTTCACAAATTTGGAGGAAATCAGGAATTTTCCCCCAATAGTTTTGGTATATTTACCTGTGGCAACTGAGCCGAAATCGAGAGTACTGTTTCCATCGTTAGAGAGGATCAGAAGTGACGGCTTCACCACAGGGACCCTTACCTCCACGTACAGAGTATCCTCTGGTCTGCGGGTATGGGGAATGGGGAACGGGAGAATGGAGAGTTGGAGTATTGGTATGGGACTGAGGTGGGTACCTGTATGGAACGGTGTCGAGTTCAGATGTTGGTGCTGCTGATGATATGAAGCAGGAGACAGAAAACTGGTGAGTCCAGTTCTGAAACCCGTTTAGCAGGTTTGCCACGGCCTGTCGCCACGTCTCGGAACCTTCCTCGGGGGCGTCGACTTTAACCCCTTCCTCACCACTGCAATCATCCTTATCGCTTCTGGCACCTTCAGTCTTTCCTTGCTGGATTTGGGAGCTTCTTTCTCTGTCAGTTCCTCCACCATCTCCACCACTCTTCCTGCCGCTAGCTTCAATCTCTCGACCACTGGAGGAGGCCTCCCCTTTTCCCTTCCTCTTCTTCTTCTGGCTCTCACCTCGACTAGCTGCACGACTTCCCTTCTTTTGCTGGAGAAAATGAGTGCCATGTAGCAAGGTAGAGAAGGTCGTGATCTTCTTAATTTCAGAGCTACGTATTATGTAGAAAATACTATCTCGCTCCACCCTTTTCCCCCTATTGCGCTCCAAAACTATAAGCTCCCTTCTTCAACTCTCACTCATCCATACCCTATCCTTATTTTTCTCCTCCACCCTCTGATTTTTGGGCTCCTATTTTATTTTACCTCAGGAGTTGAGGCGGACTCTTGGTCTCTCTGCTGAGCAGCGAGAGCTTCTTCCCTGGCCCCGATTCTTGCAGCCTCAGTGGCTAGTCTCAGTGCCTCTTCTCTTATGGCAGTGACAGGGAGAGAGGGAGTGTAGGACAGCTCAATGGAGACACTCTGTGTGAGAGATAGAGAAATGGAAAGAGTGAGGGAGAGTAACGAGTGCTGAAGGATAGAAAATTAGTGGGAATATAGGGGCATACAGAACCCTAGCAAATGTTGTCATAGTATATTATACCTCGAGAACTACACCATACGAAAGCTTTGGCAATCCAACTTGAAATCACAATATTAAGAAATATTTCTGCGATAGCTACAATATGTACCTCATCAAGATCAATTGTGCCAACACGAGGAGAGATTTCCATTGGAACCCCATCGTGGACCGAAAATTCAAAAACCTTGGGTCCCTGGGGTAGAACGGCCCCCCTGATTACGGCGCTGCTGAGTCGACCGAGTCTGGTATTGGTGATGGATATGCGAGCAGTGGTCAGACTGTTGAGGGGAGTTGCTGAGAAATTCACGACGTTCTCGGACAGCTTGAGTGACGGCAGAGCTCCTCTTCCCTTACAAGAGATCTTGAAACTCCTGTGGATGATATATGGACTCTTACTGATTCACCTTTACTCATGAAATTTTGAGGGAAAGGCAAAAATTAATACCAGTAGACAAACACTTTCCTTTGCGTTTATGTCACATTTTCCATGTTTGTGCAAAACACCTTTTGTTTTTTGACATGTCATTTTGAGCCAACTAAGATCAATGGTTTCTATGCCGTTCCTATAGAGTTCGGTATGTTATGTACCTGTTGAGGTGGGTAAGGCAGGTCAGCTCAAAGCTGTAGTCTCGAGGTTTGTTGGCACTGAACATGAGATCAAGTGAAATAGTCTCTTGAGGGAGTATGGTCCCAAATCCATCATTTGGCTGGACATCAACACACTGTGAAAGAGAGAGGGAGACTTCTGTGAATGAGAATACTGTGTAGCAGAAGAGTTTGGTGGATATGAAGAGTGTTGGTATAGGATGGACGAAGGTACAGTTACCAGCACCCTGCATTAACCACTAAAGACTACTTTGCTCTACTGTGTCACAGCAGTATTATATGGTAGTATAGAAGAGGGTAAACAGTATATACCTTGAATGAGGACACCTCTCTAATAAGAAAACCTTTTCTCTTCCCAAGAAAAGCTCTTGCTAAACGCTGAACGCCTCACTAATAAGGATACTTTATTCTGTCGCATTGGTGTCCGGATTAGAGGGGTTCCTCTCTATTATATACTACGTATTCATGTGAGTAAGTGTGCTCACGTCTGGGAGATGTACAAATCCAAACTCCTGGGGTAGAATTGAGGTGTTGGTGATGCTCAGAGTGGCGACGACTGATTCGTGGAGTGTGCAGGTCCCAAAGTCAATGTCACTGCTACTGAACACCAGGTCAGATGTGGCCACTCGGGCACAGATGGAGTAGGGGACTGGAAGAACCTGCGAGGAGAGAGAGAGAGAGAGAGAGTACAAGATACCAATAGTGTTGTGGTACAATTCGCAGAGTGCCCTTTCGTGGAGTGCATGATTTCAGCTCAGCCTAAAAAGCAGAGCTCTGTGGGTTTGAGTTCTTGTGTGATTTTTGTCGGTAATCGGGCAGTTTTTGATTTGGATCCTTCGACACCTTACGGATGGCTCAATGTCAAAAGTTAATACGAGGGTTCTGTAGTTCTTAATTCTTATATACCTGATCAACGACACGTATTTCAGCTGGAATCTTCAAACAGTCGCCCTCGAAATACTTGTCACAGTCGGCAAAGATCCCAGGGAGTGGGAGGAACTTGAGCTGGGCTGAGAACGAAGACGCCCCCTGGATGAGGCTGTGAGGGGGCGAAATTTCGAGGTGGGGGGTCAGCTCGGGGGGCAATACGAACGACACTCGGAGGGCCGTGTTTCCTCTGTTAGTGACTTGGACAGAGTCCTGATAGAGACGATTGGTGGTACAGATTCTGAGATCGATTGTCTCTTGCGAGACAAAGATCGGGAGGTCCAGGCCTTCGCCTCTGGCCTTGACCGTGATCTGCAATGAATAGATATACAAGTGGAAAAATCATTTCTTCAAAATGAAGGGGTGATATAGGGATGGCTTGAAGCACCAAAAAGGAAGAAACAAGGGGTCATTACACAGCAAAGATGCACCAAGCTACATGACACCATCCCTACATCTTTGTCTCATGTAAACTTTACTTGTGAACTATATAACACAAAGATATAGGGATGGTGTCATGTAGCTTGGTGCATCTTTGCTGTGTAATGACCCCTTGTTTCTTCCTTTCTTCCAAAATGTGTATACTGACTTACAGAAGGCACTGGAGGATAAGAGTTCCTCTGCAGGCATCCTGGCTTAGTCTCGTAGACCTGGTTCACGCACGACGAGACTATGCGCGCGCACCGCATTGGGGAAACGCCCTCCTCGGCGCATGCGGCTCACTGATGCTGAGTTAGCAGCAAATGGCGTTGTCCAGTGACTACTGTGGAAGAGCTCAACGATCTACCGTAGTGACTTGCGGCAAGAAACAAGCGATCGCTTGATATGCGTGCACACCTCCGGCAAATTTGGAGACGTTCTGTGAAAAAATCAACGCTTCAACTGCTTCCGGTAAGGAGCTAGCGGGTCTGAAGAAGAAGAAGAAGAAGAAGAATATGATGATTATGATGACACGAAAATCGCGAAATCGCGTAAGTGCGAATTCTCTCGTGGGGAACTGAGGGCACGTAGGAAGTCTTGGGGCATATGTATAGCTAGGTATTGGCCTCTAGACTATTGCTAGTGATTTTGAAGCCATGGTGAGTCATTGTCGCTGAGTTTTGAGGCGTTTTGTACGTGGATCACGTGAGATTTCACTCGTGTCATCCCTATATAGAGCGTCTACCGACGCTCTGATATAGTGGAACCTCTCTCTGAGGACACTCCTGAAATGAAGACACCTCTCTAATGAGTGAGATTTTCATTGTCTAGTATTCATCACTGGTACCTGGACGCACCAACCTTTGGTTGGGGTGGATAAAATGTTCTAAAAGTTCTTACATGAGAACTAAGTTTGTGCCCTAAGATAGCAAAACAACTATAGTAGGAACACGTAGAGATAGAGTTTAGAGCACTAGAGATACACTGTCAGAATGTGTGGTACAAAGGAAGGTAGTATTGAGCAGCTTACAGGCTTGACTCCAGTCTGAGGTGAGTGAAGGAAATTTTGAAAGATTGATGACGAGGGAGATGCCAGTGGTTGGAGAGAAGCGAAAGCCAGAGGCACCTCCTCTCGCCTTTCCTTATTGCTGCCGATCTACTACTTTCTCCTTCTTCCGCCCCTGGTCACCTCATTCGACCCCCTTCCTCTTAGTTACTGCTACCTTTCCCGCTCGCGCAGGTCTTTAATTGTTACATTTTTACCCGCACCTATTTCTGCCTTTGGCTCTCGCCGTTGTTCATCTTTCTCCTTCCCGTTTGATAATACTCATATCCACCCTTCTTTTTTTCTTTACGCTTCCTTTCTCTCTCTAAGTTTCATCTCCTTTTGCCCTTTCGACACCGTTGTTTTAGCCCTCATCGTATTTTTGGTTTCTGTCTCCTTTTTTTTGCCACTACTTATGAGACCCCCCGCCTTCGCTCAGATTTTTTTCCTCTTCCTTCCCTTTCCCTTGGCATCCTGGCTACTGTTTCTGCCAGGCCACACCCCGATCTACTATACCGACTTTTGTGAGCGCAGCTCGCCACAAGCTCTCTCGTTCTTCCTTCAGTATCTTACTCTTGCCTTAATCCCCCCCTCCGACTTTCTTTGCTCTTTCCCTTATCATCTCACCTCTCACGCTCGTTTTGTCTGTCTGCACTTCTACCTGGCGCCAGTCTCCCCACTTTACCATTTCTCGTCTGCTTCTCATCGCTTCCTAATCACCGTCTCCTTGATCCCGCATCCAATTGCTCTCACTCCTCTTCCTTGACTCTTATCCGCCCGCCCACATCTCTTTTGCCCTTCGGTTCCCCCGACGTTCTTATTTTCCCCTGTTCGCTTTCCGTCGTTCTGTTATCTGATACCTTCTACCCCCTCGCTTGCAATCCTTCTCCCTCGAACTCCAGTCCTTTCCCCCTACCTACATCCTATAATTGTCCCCTATCCCTTTCCACTCTGCGCTACTGTATCCATCCAGATACCCTGCTTGGTTCTGGAGAAGAGATATTGTAGGAACAGGGAAAACATGTTGTAAGATGCGGAGAAAAGGAAAAGTCCAGAACCTTCTCTATCATCACACTTGCAGGTGAAATGTTCTCCTCCTTAGTAGAAGAATTCAGTGGTCGTTTCTTTTTTTCTCTTCGGATGATATTTCTCCCTCCCTGCTATCAGCGTGTAGTTTCTCCTGCGATGAGCCCATATGGTCTTCTGTGGCTGCAGTTGAATGGTATGATTGGTTTTTGCGATCTGCGAGGGTGGAATTGTGCCGTTCAAACAGGTTTTGGTTTTAGTTTGGTGAGTTTTTGTCCGCTTGAACGGTGCGGTGGCTTGCTAGGTCCGCCAGACCTTTTGCCAGGCCCTTGACTTGCGGTGTTGGAAAAGATCAGTTCAGTGTAGCAGAGTGATCAGCTGTTTGGCCAAACACAACTGAGGTATTTCACCGTAGAATGACTGGCAGGCTGGGAAGACATAGGACATACTGAACCTAAAGAATCCTAAAGGGAAATAGAATGGACAAACAATGATTGCCTTTTATGCGCAAGATCATGCCCATTCTACAGAAGGGCAGATGTTGCATACATTAGTAATTACCCTCGGCGCGCATGCGCAGACGAGGGGTACTGTCGTGGTTGTCTGTCTGTCTGTGTGTCTTCTGTTACTCTAAATCTCACTTCTCGGGTGTCTGTTCGTCCCAGAAACGATACCATCTACCCAACGGGCGACGAGGGTCAGAAACTATGTGGGGTTTTCTCTGAAAATGATCCGTTGCAGAGCTAGAGCGCTTCCCCCGGCCGGTAGTCGCCATTTTATCGCTGGCGGATAATGCGCATGCGCTTATATTTAGCTCGACCGGGGTCCGCTTGCCTGCTATCTTGAAGGCACAAGAAGTCACAACGAATGGCGTGTATCGTCTCGCGTGCTATTACTACTGCTGGCGAGATGAGGCTGGAAGTTTTTAAAATTTTTTTTCAAACTTCGTTTTAACAAAATTTTATGCACTAACAATCCACGGGTATATGAAAATTAATAGAGAGAGGAAAGGTGGCAATTTTCAACCTTATATATTTTTTGGGGCCCTCAAACGAAAAATGGGGCTGGGCATTTTTTCAACCATGAAAAGTGCAAACATGCTGTTTTTTTGATGAATGGTAAAGACAATCAATTGTGTGGTGCAAATTGACACACTCTTGTATGGGTTCCAATTTCTGTGCCGGCGGAGTTTGAACACTTTAGGTTCATTGACCACCCTAAGTGATCGAAATGTATGCTAGAGTTCTGTCTTCGGAGCCATTGGGAACAGCTCTGTTTCAATGCAGAGACATCCCAAAGATAAACTACCCATCTATCAATGATGGTGATGGGTTGAGATTTGTATAGTACCAGTGACGTTTGAGTCGGGTACCGCTCCCCAGTATCCCTGACTCACTCATGACACTGGGCAGGAAAGACTGGAATGGCCGGATGGATGCTCCACTCACAGACTCTCCCACCGACTAACTTCTCTCTGGGACTCAGTTAGCGTATTGATACACACGGAAGAGAGAGAAGAGAGTTGTATTATGAAAAGTGGGGAAAAGTAAAGTAGTTTATCAAGAAGTGCTTTTAAACCCTGTAAACTATTCTGTAATGATACCATACCTAAATTTCTCTTTGAAATTTGACATAATCTATATTACATACCTTCACGGGAGGGGGGGGGGAACGGAGAAGTGAAGGCGGGGGGGGGAGAGCAGAGGTGGCAGGGGGGAATACAAGAAGG